TTACCGGCTACACTTAATATTGGTTTGATGACATCAGTTTAAGGAAGTAGGATGGTAGTCAAGTGATTAGTTCGCATAGTCTTTCGGTGAAGAAAATCTTCCTAACTATTTGAAGGAGGCATGAAAGTTATAGTTTCTTAATACTGCATCTGCACATTTTTACTTGTATAGTAGAAAATGGATATTATTGTAGAATCTTTAGTACTGATTAAGTGCTTATCTTATCAAAGATAAAAATTCACTATCTAGCTCTGTTAAAAACCTGAAGGGGGCTTGGAAGACGTCCGGAGGACTGGCTAAATACATTATGACATATAAGCAATAAAACCTTACAAACTTTGTAAGCCTTCGTCAAAGCTTTCTGATACGGCATAGCCTTAAAGCATAAATCCCTATCATTAAACATGTCATGTTGGGAAGATTTCAATTGGTATCCTAATAACTCCACACAAATAAATCCTGATTTTTTCTTGTGAGGCAACTTGGTCGCGATTTTGCATATATTCAGACTTCCAAACGTTATTGCCTACTTCCTGCGCTTTGGCATTACTAACTTATGCGCTGATTTTGCATTTTAATACTACTCTGTACCCATGAACAACCTCGATTCACTGACAGTCAATGTATGTCTCAAGTATTGACAAAATATGATTTATAACGTCGTTATCAAAAACATTTTACCTTTGATTGCTGGAGCTCATGAAATTGGATGTGCAACGGTGAACCAAGTTACAACAATTCGGCAAATATGCCTCAAGAAGAAACAAAATTGACGAATATTCTTCGTATTTCACTTTACCCTCAGAAGTAGATATAAAATTTAAACAAGTATACATGTCTGGGAATGTACCACGTCCACAGTCCGACTTTGGAAATAATTATGCATACAATGGACTCAGGACAAGGTGCGTTTCTATAGGTCTTCCTACCATTATGACTAAGTTGCGAAAACAAGGTCAAACAGTTTCTATACAACAAAAGGAGACTGCGACCACACAAAAGGCCAAACCATCTTGGTCTTCATATCTTCGATCAAATATACAGGTTGTTTGACATTGTTTTCGCAACTTGGTCATATTGGCAAGAAGACCTAGAGGAGCGCACATTGTCTGAAGTCCATAGTATGTATGATATTTTCCAAAGTCGGGCCGTGGACTTTGTACATTCTCAGACGTTTCTCCGGTATCGTAGTCGGCATCGTCTTTAAATCCTGCCACATTTAGCCCCACACCACAACTTGTCAAAGAGACAAGTGAAATAGATTCTTTGACCAAATGTGTTTTAATTAGTTGTGGGATCTGTCCTTCTGTCCTGGGCTATTCACCTGTCCTATATACTAGTATCACTCATTTAATATCACAGTTTCTTACTTGTTTATCTAGACCTATCTATTCACACTCCCCTCTGGTTTCCTGATCCTTCCCTCTGTGCCGGGATCGTTGATCCAAGGCTCTTGTTTAATCCGCGATTCTCCTCCTTGGGGCCCTATCTGAGTACCCTTCTTGCTCTGTAAGAACTTTCCCTTATCTGGTTGTTTCAGTTATTTCACTTCATCTTTGCCAGAATATCGATACTACTCAAGGTGTAATGTTCTACACTCGGCTTCAAAACTTTAAAAGCACGTATACACCAGTGAGCAAGACCCTGAAGACGGGATTCTTAATGAGAGGAAGAAATTGAGAAGTCACCGATGCAACCAACAGTGCTTATGCGATACCTGAACGACTACTTTGCACCTTGGGCGCATGGTAATAAAAATAAGGATGAATTCATCAATTTTATAAGCCAACTTGATGGAAGGATTAAACTCATACTGGAGGTGTAGGAGGATAAACGATTACCCTTCCTGAATATTGAGGTAATTCGCTCCAACGGAATACTCAAGGGAGGACTAATTAGAAAGAAATCATATGCGGGACTACTCCTCAATTTTCAGTTTCATCCCAACTACTGAAGATCGGAATAATGAGAAGTTTTAGACTAACTGACACTGATTTCTGGATCGATCATTTGGAGAAACTGACTCGTATTTGCTTTAGTAATGGGTATCCTAAGGCGTTTATAGAAATAAATATAGGGGTCATAAAGAGCAGATTTCAACTAGGATTTAATGAAAATAAAATCAGAAATCTGGAGGATGACAAAAAGTGGATATGCTTGCCTTTATGTGAACAGAGCCAAAAATTTCGACCGTTGCTAACAAAATGGTATATCAAAGTGATAACAAATAAAAAGACAGCATTCATCTAGGACTTCCTGCCAATATGACCAAGCTGCAAAAACAAATTCAAATAGCTTGTATACAACAAAAGGTAACCACGACCATACAAAACGCCACACCTTCCTGCTTTTCATACCTTCGTTTAATAAATATAGTCTGTACTTTTGGCAAATCGTCGTCATAGCAAGGATATCAGAAGATGCACCTGGGCTTTAGGGGTCCTACGGCATTCAGATATTGTTAATTTAGCCATACAGCACAGCGTCCTTATACCCTAGAGAATCTGTCTTAGTTATTTCGGGCTATCGGACATAGTGTCCTAGGTATATTTCTAATCGAATTTTGTAAAGAACTTAACTTTTGATCGTTCTCACACGAATGTATTAGCATTAGGATCTCATGCTTACTATCATTCGAGACTTTTAGTGCTCTGGTAAAAGTAAAGCACAGCACATCACTGGGTTGTATTTCGTCGCCATATAAAGACCTTTTTCCGAATATTATACGTCACATGAATTGGATCTATGGGCAATGATAAGAGTACTTCAAGGAAGAGGAGAGTTCCATGTTGATTATGCCTTATTTGAGAACTACAAAGTAATTCATTTGACAACTTTGGGATAATAATATATTTGGTGACTTTTTCTTACTCAGAGTTCGAGCGATGCTCGTAACTAACAATATTAATGTGGTTAGGTTTCCGACTCTGTAAGGAATTCGCGAATTGGCCCTATTGGAAACCGAAGGAGGATTGTCGCGAAATGAAGGCCATATTATTTTCGCGACCTTTGTAAAAATAGCTCATAACCCAGACTCATCAAGCTTTACTCATTTTCACAAGTATTAATGACGTCAATATTTTTCTACAAAGTCTGAGAAATGTCCCATTTGAAAATATTCAAAGATGACAATAGCACTTTTTAAGCGTATTTTGAGGAATTGTTGATAGTTTAACCCAATCATATGTGTCTTTTAACTTGCATTAACTTGCAAATTTTCAAATGGTTCAAGTTGACGGTCACTGGAGCATCTGGTCAGCCTGGTCGGACTGCCAGCCTCGATGCCAGTCTGTCTCGATGCGTACTCGTAGGCGAACTTGCTCATATCCACATCCCCAGTTCGGAGGCAGGATATGCCCTGGCCATACAATTGAAAGGCGTCTATGCACGGAGGATGAGATTAACTGCAGTGGTGAGTCCACTCGAAATGGAACAATATTAAATCATACTAATTTATTTCTCTTTTCCCACCCAACCCTCTTCACTCCACCAAGTATCCCCACACCGCAATTTGATCCACTGCTGTCTCGGCCCAATATTCAGGTGAAAGTATTTAATGATACTTTAGTAAAGGGTTCCCATCTGCTAGCATGAGCTTGGAGGACTGTTTATTCATAGATGTTGATTGATCTCGTTTCCGCGGTCGAGATGAATACATCTTGTCTCAAGTCGTCCACCATAGTAATAATGGCAATTTACAGCTTCAGATCATAAACTTAGTACATTCCCAGACGTTTTGCCGGTATTGACAGTGAATCAAATCTTAGGACGGGTGTTGGCTCTTAAAGAAATTGTGGCTTGATACTAAGACCAACGAAACGCCCTGGCGATGCCGAATATGATGCTGCAAAGCGCCTGGGCATGTATCAAGTCAAATCCGCGACGCTTTAATTTACCATAACTACTATGGTAGAGGACTTGAGACAAAGTACGTAATCTATATCGCTCCTACAGCGCGACCAAGTTGCGAAAGCGATGTCAGGCTACTACCATACAGTGAATGGAAACTGTGACTAAAATAGAGGCCCCACCCTTTTGGTTTTCTTACCTTTTTTTTTCATTTTCAAGGGCAATTTTAGTTAATTAAGAGCGAACGGATTGTTTTTCGACTTAAGCAAATAAAATTATGAGATGTATTCATCCTATTTCGTTTAAGGTATGAAGGTCTGGTAGTAGAATTTGCCCACAATGATATAAGTAGAGCTGACGTTTCCATTGAATTTCACATTGTTCTTTTGGGAAAGCAAAGTAATGTGAAATTCAATGGAAACGTCAGCTCTATTCATATCATTGTGGGCAAATTCTACTACCAGTCCTTCATACCTTAAACGTAATAGGGTGAATAAATATCATATTACTGATTTACTGGTATTCTTAAAACTCTACGCAACACGAAAAACAAAAAAATTAAACATTCGAAGATATAAAGACCAAGATGGTGTGGCCTTTTGTGGGGTCGCAGTCTCTTTTCGTTGTATAGAAGTTGTTTGACCTTGTTTTCGCAACTTGGTCATATTAGTAGGAA